CTCCTTAGCGTTTTGTGCCCCTGTAGCATCTGAACGAACCTCTGGGGGGGTTGCTTGGGGGCACGGCTGCCACCGGACTCCCCCAAACGTGGAGCGTAACTCGCAGAGGTTGGGTACTTGTCTGTCCCCTGGTTTGCTTTTCCCATGCCCAGCGCTCTGCTTTCCAGCTTGGAGTTAGGCTGGGCAGAGTGGGAAGAGCTGGCTGTGACCGAGGCGCCAGGCTCTGCTCCCCGCCACAGGGCTTGCAGACGTCTGCCCCACGGAGCTGTGCCAAACACCCAGTGCCCTGTCCCGTAAAGATGCCGTGCCCTTGCCCCGGGCTGCTCTGGTCTGCATCAGTTATTGGGTTTTTTTAGGCTAGCTATGGGCTCTGGCTTCCCCACGCTCCCTCCGTTGGATCTATTTCTGTGCCTTCCCTGACAGCCGGAGCGCCCAGCCCAGTGCTCCCCACTCCCAGGCTCCCTTGCCTGCTCCCGGGGTGTTTATGTGCTCAGGGGCTGTATTTGCTGGAGCAAGATTTTAACTCTCGCTTCGGCATGCTACTGAGCCGGCTGTGCAGGAGTGCTCTTGCACCTTTCCGACAGTAGCACTGGGTGAAGGAGCTGCCCTCACCAACCCTCTCCCAGCTGTGCTGGGAGCCCAGGCCTTGCCCTCTGTGCCCAGGGCAGGCGCATGGAAAAGGGAACACAGGAGATGCCCCATAGAAACTCCCTGCGTGACCGTGGCCCCTGCGAGGGTGTTTTGGGGAGCAGGAACAGCAGAGGCAGGAGGATGAGCCCGGCGCTCCTCCAGCAGCAGATGTGGGAAGCAAATCCTGGTTGACACATTTCGAGTGATTCCCTCGCAGCTTGGGTGTCTCAGCCCAGCCCCATAGCTCGCAGCCACCGCCACTGATACAGTGCAACTGGGACCAGCCGCACGCTTCCCTTTTTCTCCATCACGGTTTTCCTGGCTGCGCTGAAAGTGAGCAGCTGCCGGTGTTCCCTACGAAAGACCTTGGCTGTGCAGCCCCCGGACAAGGGTGGCTCTTGAGATGCTCCCGGGGTGAATGGTGGGCTATGGTGGTATGGCTCTTGGCCCAGATGAAGGCAGAGGGACGCTTGCAGCACAGACCGTGCCCCGGTCCCCCTATGCAGCATTTCTTGCACAGAGCAGGGGCGTTGGTGCCTGGTGCAAGCACAGGAGCAGCCCCAGTTTGGCAAAGGCTTCTGGTTTATTGATGTAGGGACACAATGAGGGAGCAGAACCTCCTGCTGCCTGCAGTGCTCCCCCACAGCCACCCCATCGCGGGGTCTGTCACCACCAGCCACAGGCTGTCCCAGCAGTGCTCACACCGAGCCTCCTGCTGCAAGCCGTGGTGCTTGGCATCCTGCACTTCGCACCCAGGGTTGGCACCCCACGCTTTGCACCCGGGGTTGGCACCCCACGCTTTGTATGTAGGGCAGCAGAGAGGCTGGGCACGCAGCCTGGTGCCCAGCACTGCCTGACTCCCCTGCCCTCTCCCTCTGCAGCTGTCCTCATGGGCATCTGCCTGGTGTCGGTCACCTATGGAGCGCTCGTCTGCAATGTCCTGGCCATCCAGGTCAAGTACGATGACTACAAGGTCCAGCTGCGGCCCCTGGCCTTCCTCTGCATTGTGCTGTGGCGCAGCCTGGAGATCTCCACCCGCGTGGCCGTCCTTGTGCTCTTCAGCACTGTCTTCAAGCACTGGATCATCCCCATCGCCCTGGCCAACCTCCTGGTGGTCTTCTTCTTGCCCTGGGTGCAGTTCTGGCGGAGCGGCACCAGCCTGCCCAACAACATCGAGAAGAACTTCAGTCGGGTGGGCACAGTGGTGGTGCTCTGTGCCTTCACCCTCCTCTACGCCAGCATCAACATGTTCTGCTGGTCAGCCGTGCAGCTCAATCTGGCCGACCGGGACCTCATTGACAAGTCACAGAACTGGGGCCGCCTGGCCGTGTACTACGTGGCCCGGCTGGCAGAGAACACAGCCCTGGTCATCCTCTGGTACTTCTTCAAGACAGATGTCTACGAGAACATCTGCACCCCGCTGCTGGTGGTGCAGCTGCTCCTCGGCTACTGCCTGGGCATCTACTTCATGCTCCTCTTCTTCCAGTACCTTCATCCCTGCCGCCAGCTCTTCCAGCACAACGTCGCTGACTTCCTGCACTGTGTCTGCTGCCGCCGGCACCCGCTGGGGACCCCTCTGCATCTTGAGGTGCCCCACGAGCCCGGTGTGAGGCACAGCATTGTCTGAGGCACAGCCAGCACCTGGCTTCTCCAGCCAGCTATGGACATGGGGACGGGCAGTGCCAGGCTGTGCCGGCAGCCGGGGGAGGCTCATGGCACAAGCCG